TATTTGAATTGTAAAACTGATATTTTTCATCGCCAAGAACATATCAATTTGAATAATGAAGGTTGGATGTTTCAGAGGATGAAAAGAATATGAAAGCAGTGGTTTTTTTCTTAATCACCAACCTTAGAAAACCGTCAAGGCTTTCAAGTATTTATATCTAGATTAGGAAATGAATGAGTTGGACAAAAAGCTTTTAAAAAAACGAAATAAAAATTTTTCGGATGACACTGTCGCTCGAGCAAAGGGCTAGCAACAGTCGAGCGATAGATTGTCGCTCGAGCGAAGGTGATACGATAGTTGTGCGATGAAATTTCTATTTCTGACGTTTGAGCCAAACCTTGGCGAAAAACTAGCGAAATTCAAAGTCGTTTTTCATTCTTTCCCATTTTCAAACCCTAGACCTAAAATATCACAACTTATACTAATTGCACACTATTCCTTAACTTTTTACAACATATAAACTTTAGTCTTTTTTGTTCACAGAATAGTCAATTACATTAAATACCTAACAATCCCTAATAGTATATTTTAGTTGTAATGAAGTCTTCAATAACAGACATGATTCAATTTTTTGTTATATTATCACGTGACCTAATGAAAATGTGTCTTTAAATTTTGGGCACCAACTATAGCTATAAAGCAAAATTTAACTTTATAAAGTTGGACATGTAAAAGATTATATAACAATTTAAACAACTTTTGTCGTTGAAACTTGTTTATTTTCAAAGATTAAGGATTACCGTGTTACTTGAACAATAGAATGGGTACCGATTGTGCACTTTTAAGAACTTGCACATGAATTCGTGGCATGACAGCAACGGAGTATAAAATTACAATTGTGCTACATGTACACCATCTTATACATCATTGTTTACGTTAAGTCACGTGACAATATATCATTGGATAGTTTTTTTTTTTTAAATAGTTTTCCCGTTTACAATTCTTTGAAAACAAAGAGAATGTCAAAATTGATGTAAAGGAATCAGGAATATGAATGCACATTTAGCATTATTGATAAAATTAAGAAGTCAAAAAATTGAAGGTGCGGTATAGATTGTGAGGAGAGTAGACAATGAAAAATTTAGCCCATGTTTGACAACCATTATTAAATTTTTTTTTCTGCATACTTATTTTCAACCATATATTCACACAATAAAATATTTTACGAGCAAAACTCAAAATATTTTCATACTTTTTACCACGCATTATTCAAAAATTTACTATTCAAAACTTTATTTTTTTGTCAAATAATGGCCATCAAACGAGGGCTTAATTAGATTCAAAATTAGTCTGTTTAAACGAACCACTATTTTATGGGACATGTTAAGGATTAAATCCCACTTCGAATAATGACATAATATATTATAACATGTAAAAGCTAGAATACTCTTTTTAATAAGATTCATCTTTCAAAATTATTAATGCACCAGCTTACGGCACATTCGAAGAGAGTTAAGTGGGCTCAAGATGGTTGAGCTCACTTACTCATAAGATCACACATGAAAAGTCCATAGAAAATGCATCGAGGCCTAACATATCATCAAGACCAACCATTTTGGAGAAACATTCAAATGCATCTAACAGAATTTATATTGGACCGAAAAGACAGGCCCGGCCCATTTGAGAGTTTAATCTTCACAGCAGGACAGGTGTAAACCTAGGACGAACCGAGCATTGCACAGAAACTCCGGCGAAGACACTTGGCATACACGTGTCAGCAAATGTCAATATGGTAATTTGAGTCAAACTTTGAGCTATTTTTGACTTTATGCACCTCTTTTGGGCCCATCCTTCATCCCCAAGAATGAGAACAGCTTGCTTGCAGTTCTGCTGTACACCATTCTCGAGAGGCAATCTTCTCTCTTAGTTTTTCCCTCTACATATACATACAGCTGTATGTATCTATGCATGCATGTTGCATGTAAGTTCAAAGGTTCACTAGTATGGTATAACAGTTCATTTGTAGTTTATTTCTTTTTCTTTTTCTTTTTCTGTAAATATTTTCTTTTTCTTTTTTCTTGATGATTGCAGAATTTTTAGGGTTTTGTCAACCAGCTTGGTGAATCCTATCATGAACAGGTATTTTTACTGAGTTTCAGCATCTACACTATGTTTGATCGTGTTTAAAAGTCGTTTTTTTAACTGATTTTTTACATAGAGACTGAAAATTTGCTAAAAATCGACTGTTGAGAATGGTCAAACATCTCAGTACTCGAAATTGTTTTGATGTTTTTATTGTACTTTGTGCCTTGGTGGTTGCATTTTAAAACATGTTTTTTAAGGCTGTTCTAGTCAATTTATTTATTCAATTAATTATTTCCTCCCTGCTTAGTTTTGATGATTATTGTGGGATTTTTGACGTAATAATATAATTTTTAAGTTCTCTTATAACAATAAAACTAAGCTAACTTAATGATAGTTCAGGGAAGATTTGGGTGGGTGTAATATAAATGACAAATTAGATATTGAAATTTATTACTATTCTTTAAAAAGAATATTGTTAATAATCTGACAAGTTGGGAAACCATTAAAAATTAATTCCTAATTTATCAGCCAGATGAAGTTTTTGTAATACCCAAAAGAAATACCATTCCGGCGATATTTTCAATGAGATTGTCAATCGGTCTATTGGTTCATCGATTATTGATGGTTCTAGAAGCACTAAGCTTACGTCACATGCAATAGTACCTAGATTATTAAGTCTTGCGAAATTATCTCCTAAAATCATTTTTTTTTTCCATTTCCTCTTGTTCATGTTGTCCTCTTTCATTTCTTTGGAAAATTTAGGGGGGAAGAAAACCGCCCCTAGTTTTTCGGTGGGGGATGGGGGGGTCGCTCGCAAGTTGGTGGTTGTAGTTGTAAATGCAGTTGTTGGTGGCGGATATTGATTGTAAGTGGTGCAGGTTTAGGCATCTGCAGTGACGACACGTGGTGCAGGTTTTGGTGAAAGCGATAAAAAAGATTAATTGTTTTTTCTTTATTTTTTGTATATTTTTTTGTCTTTTGGTTTATTTTATTTAACTTTTTACTTTTTTTTTCCTTTCCTTTCCTTTTCGATTTCTTTTTTGCTTATAGGGTCCGTTTGATAGGCAAATGTGGAAAAAAATTTCAATTTCATGTTATTTAGAAAATAAAAATCCAACAAACCCATAGAAATTCGTTTTCCATGAAAACAAAGAAAATGCAGCTTAGAGTATGTTTGGGACACATTCTTTTGAAAGAATGTATTATTAAATAGTAGATTGATGGAGAATGTGTGGTTGAAAATGAAAGAAAAGTTATTGATGTGATTGAAAATATTATTTTATTGAAAAATGTGTGATTGAAAATGAGTAAAATGATGAAAATGTAAAAAATAATGTGTACCAAACAAGGGCTTAATATAGAATACAAAAATAGCAACGATTTACCAAAGGTGCTTCATCCCAAATCATTAGCCTACACATTTTAAACAAGGGTGTGTTTGAGCCACATCAATTTGAAAGAATGTATTTTGGAATAGTAGATTGATAGAGAATGTGTGGTTGAAAATGAAAGAAAAGTTATTGATGTGATAGAAAATATTATTTTATTGAAAAATATGTGGTTGAAAATGAGTAGAAAAATGAGAATGAAAAAATTAATGTGTACCAAATAGGGCCTTAAAGTGATTGTACCTTAAAATTCGATTTCCATTTTTACGTTGCTGCTTTTGTGCCCTGCTTAGATTGGTTTGGGTGGTGTCTGTTTAGGGTCTGTATGGTTGTGTTTGTTTTGTGTCCTGTGTTGCTGTTTTCTGTGGTCTTTTATTGTTGGTTCCTTGATTTTTGTTGGCTTCTCTTTGGAGAGAGTCGAAGTTTAGACAATGCCCGTCACCTGTGCGGGGGTTCTATAGTGCTGATTGCGTTAGTTGACTTGTAGTCGGGTTTTCCTATATTCATAAGTCACAGGTGTAACTTCGTTGTTTCTGGATAGTATTCCAGACTGTTGTCTCAAGTTTTTAGCTTGTTTCGTCTGTAATCGGTTTATCCGTTTGATTAATGACAAGTTCTTTATCAAAAAAAAAAAAAATTTAATGAGGATAAAATTGAGACAAAGTGAAAGGTTGGGGTCGTGTAATTTATCAAAAATATAAATACCAGGAGATTGACCAATTCATTAGGAGGGTCACATTAAACCCATTTTGCCACATGATCGTCAACAAAAGATGTGGATAATCAATCCTCAAATGATCGATTGATAGAAGTAGAAAGGATTACAGGTTTCAAAAATGTTATACACGACGGTGGTGTTGTCCCTTGCTCGACCAACATTTAGGATTGTGGTCAATTAGACCAGTTGTCAATTTGACGACCTTGAAGGGGGAGAACAGAGCAAAGACGAACATATGACATTATGACATCAGGTCTGGGCTCAAGGAAGGTAGAGGAGTCGCATACTTGACACCTAGGAGATACAGACGCAGACCATACTAAACCTAGCTTGCATTTAGTGCAAATAACCTACAGGTCGATAGACTGTTAAATAGTTCAAGCAAAACTCACCTCGAACTCAATCGGGAAGTCTAATATTCCACTGGGCATAATGAGTTAAGTGCCGGGCCAGTGTCAAGTATATTTTGACAAGAGTGATCCACAGCATTGCCAGTAGATTTTGACATCTACATTGTACCATAATTCCTAATATCAAACGATTTTGCAACATTTCTGTTCAATAACATGATTATGTCAAGTTGGTATAAATTTTACTGTACGGTGTTCATTATCAGTGTGCAGACATTACATTAATAAACACAAGTCTTTAATATATAGTTTCTTAACTTGAGAATTATAATATATTATTAGTCTCAATAAAAATGCAGTATTTATCAGACTGGAAAATTGATAATCAAATTACTGCTCGAAAGAATTCCCTTTCACCTTTATCACTGCAGGTACTGATACTGTGCAGCAGGCAGCAGCATCTTAACCAAGCAACTAGCAAACGTAACCTGAAGTAGAATTTGATACCAAAATCTCAAGATGGTCATAGAGGACACTGGTATCATATCTCAAGGAGAGGTTGAGTCAACATTGCAATCACACCAACAGCCCAAGATCCAGACATCTACATCAATAGGCCAACAGTCATCCATATACTCGCTTACCCTTGATGAGTTTCAACACAGTCTTAGTGAGAAGGGCAGAAACTTTGGATCAATGAACATGGATGAGTTTCTCAATAGCATATGGACTGCTGAAGAAAATCAAGCTACAAACACCCAAGCAACAAGTGCTACAACCAATGGTAACAATATCAATGGGAAACAGAATCTCTTGCAAGAAAGTAATGCTTCAATGGCTAAGGGAATACCCAAGCAGCCAAACTTGCCCAGACAAGGTTCTCTTGGTATTCCCGAGCCTCTGTGTCAGAAAACAGTGGATGAAGTGTGGTCTGATATTCACAAAGATCAGCGCCAACATATTAATGACACTCGTGTTCAGAATCCTCGTGGTACTCAGAGACAACCAACATTTGGGGAGATGACACTGGAAGATTTCTTGATTAGAGCAGGGGTTGTGCGGGAACAGAATCACCCCCAGTTGCAACCTCAACAGCAGCAATATGGAATGTATCCAAACAGAGATTATGCTGTGGAGTCTAATTTTGTCGCCCCGCCCGTAATGGGGATGGGTGGTGACAATAGTGGTGGTAATGCCAATGATGCTAATGTTGCAACATATCAAGCTCTTCCACACAGTGGCGTTGAAGATCCACCAGATTACCCTGGAGGAATGAAAAGGGGTGTTAGGTATGCACCCCAACCCCAACCATTGACAGTCTATGGTGGGAGAACAGGAAATAGCAGTGCCGGAGGATATGTGCAAGTGCAGGGATTGGGAATGGGATCCCCAGCAAGTCCAGTGTCCTCGGATAGATTGTGCACAAACCAGGTGGAGAACAGTAATCAGCATGGTTCGGATATGAGTGGGATTAAAGGAGGGAGGAAGCGAAACAGAGATGGTCAGGTTGAGAGGGTGGTGGAGAGGCGACAACGAAGGATGATCAAGAATAGAGAGTCTGCTGCGCGATCTAGAGCCAGGAAGCAGGTATTCCATTTTCTTATAGTGTTCGGGTTCAAAACTTGGTTATAATATTGCAGTTAAAACAAACATTGCTGGATATTGGATTTGATTTTGAAGATTTTTGGAACCACATAAAGCTTATGATTTGATCTTTGACGACTCTTAATTTTCAACATCAATGTTGTTTGGCAGGCTTACACTGTTGAACTTGAAGCAGAACTAAAACAATTAAAAGAAGAGAATGCACACCTACAGCAGGCTCTGGTAAATATAGAAATATTACAAATGCATATTTTCAGATATAGAATTCAGTTAGTCTCGGCTGTTGTTCTTGGCTTGTCTTGTCTTCAATTACCAAAATAGCGTACTTCTTGATGTTGGCACTTTGGTGTTTGTAACACTCCTACATTCCTTTGACTTGAAACAGGCCAAACTAGAGAGGAAAAAAAAACAGCAGGTAAATCATGTCAGATTCTATAGTCTTTTCCCTAACTGTAGTATCAAATCATTACGTTCTACCAGGGATTATATCTAGAATCATAATAGTAATTTACATGATAAAAATTGACTACGTATGGTACCCCGAAGATCAGCATATACAATACCAACTAAAAAAGAATGTGCACCCCCAATCTTACAATTTGGCAAAATGTAATGCAATTTGATGTTGCAGAAATGAGTGTTAACATGCATTTTCGACATGTTTGGTATACAGTATTAGAAATGATTGAAGAGTATTAAGGAAGAAAAAAAAACTTAGAATCCTGCTTATTACTCTCTAGTTCTATCAGGTGCTGCAAATCAAACATTCTTTTAATGTTTAATTACTTGTGCTAATGTAGAGTAACTTCTGGAGATGATTATGTAGACTATACTTTTATCTGTTCTTGTGCTTCTGTATTCTTTGGACACAGTACTTTGAGGAAGCAAGAATGAAGGCCCAGGCACAGACCAAGGTTCAGAAAACAAACGAGAAACTGAGAGTGATGAGACGAAGCAACTCATATTGAAGCCGAGGATTGGCCTGCTAACGGCCATTTTTCGAGGTCTGGAAAGAGGGGAAAGGAAAGAAAAATCAGATAGTAGGGGATATTTGCTGAACTTAGCTTATACTGTATATGTTTTATTATGATAAAGTGTAATAAACTTAGTCATGCTAGCCTTCTAGCTGCAGCTGTAATGCCATATACTCTTTTGTGTACCTATATAATTTTTGTATGGAAATAATGTTGTTTGGTAGTACTTCGTTAAATTTTTATTAACTTTTCAATGGTTTGACATTTAATGGGACTCATAACTTTTTATCAAAACATGCTAAAAGATTTATCAAAAGTTTTGTCAAATAACCCCATAATTACGTGTTTCCACAGGATTTTTTGCTCCAAATAGGCTGGTTTTTAAGTGAAATGTGGTATCACGTCTGTTAATAAAGTCCAAATATCTCTTCATTCATAGCATAGATTGTATTGAACAGTATCTTCGAGCAAGTTTTTTTAAAAGCATTATCTATTCAATAACACGATACAATAAGACTATGCAACATAACTGCAATTTTTCGTGTCTTATATTATACAAAATATTTTTCATACATGTAGTTAAGTCTACAATTTACGCCATCAAGGTAACAAAAATCGAGGCCTTTCTTCTACAGTGAAACACAAAGTTTCAATCTTTGGAAAGCACTCGGTGACCACACTTCCGAAACTCTGGACATGTTTGGAAATTTGGTACATAGTACTCGACAATAGAATGAAATACATCTTAACTTCATTGTCTTTTGTAATACTATCAAGTACTATTCAAGACGTGTCACAGAGCGTAGAGGAATAAGGCTATCGTAGTAAAGACATGGCTTATTGAAATTCTTCATGGCTCTGCTGTATTCAATCCTTCTACAGGTTTGATTCTTGACACTATAACAAATGAGCCCGCTTTGCTCCACATGGATCAATATTTCTTCGCACTGATTATCACAAGGAATCAAAAACTTAACATTTAAGGGAGAGAAACTAATACTATATTCCAACACCCAAATCTTCTTCTTCTCATCCTTCAGCAACCAAATATCCAGGGTAGATGTTCCTGCTGAACACCCCACCAAAGATAAACACCCCTTAATCCCTGTATATTCCAAGAAGATGTACTTTTCAGAATCAGATACGGGATACGAAATAATGCTAAATTCTTCATTCTCCAAGTTGAACGAGAGAACAGACTTGTCGTTCCACGAAGTAGCAATTAGCCCCCAGTATATAGCTTTATTCAGGAATAGAGGGTGACCATCAATCCAGGCACTACAAGGATAATCTCCAAATGTTCTCCAAAAGCCAGAGTGGACTCCCTCACCATGTTTAAAACTAAAAATCTCGCACCCGAATTTTCCGTCTCTAACAAAGGAATGGTACAACAAATGCACAATTTTGAACTCGTTCGACTTAGGAAGGTATCCAAATCCTATGTTGTATAGACGAGCATTAGAAGGATAGGGGACGCGAACAACTTGACGAATACTAGGATTGCAAATATAAAGAGAGTACATGCAGCATAAAACACTGAAAGGATAGCAAGAGATGAATGTATGAACAGGGCCATCAAGTACTTCCCTGAATTCATCTGTTATATTTCCCTCCATGTCTATAGAGGTCAATTCAATAGTGACTTTGCTTCTATCCATTTCCCCATTTGCATCCGAAATATATTTCCGGATCAATAACAGAGGTTTTCGCTTAGACAATTCTGAGTGACGCGTCATCAAGTCCCTGTCATTAGTTAACAAATTGTACCATCGTTTTGAGACACACCTGAACTTGCAGAGAACCTTAGCAGGAAGTCTTGAGAGTATTTCGATAATCAAATCATGAGGGAAATCGTCCATTCCTTTCATTTTCCACCGTATAACTGTTTCCTTCTTTGTTGATCTTCTGGTTTGAGATTGTTATCTTGATCAACTGTTGAACCTACTCACCGATAACTCCATACAGGTAGCAGAGGACTTTCTGTTTCTGCAGAGAAAGTCATTTGAAGCTTCAAATTGAAGGGAAGATACCACACAATTACTTCATCAGTGTTTAAATAAACAGGTTGCTTGAGCGGCTGCAGTGGACTTTCGAGGAATGGCATGATGCTTCCTTTAGAAGATTTCAGAGCAGGTATACGTATGCAAGTGTTTGGAATATAAGAATTTGTTAAAAGGGAAAATTGTTTGTTTATTCTTTTTCTAATCTAACCACCAATCAACTGAATTGGTCAAAACCAATCCCAACAAGAAAAGATGACCCAAATTTACAATACACAAAAAACATGTTAATAATAACAAGTCAATTGTAAAATAAATACATGTCTTCTTCACTTTCTTTCTCCAAAACCGACCAATTTCCTCCAAACCAGCAGAAAAAACATTCAAATATACATCAGAGCAGCCCAACAAGCTTCAGCAACCGTTATCATGCCTCCAATCACAGTCAACAGAACTTACAAGATAACCCCAAAAATATAAAATTACCTGCTTGCACAGTTCTATATATGAAGGCATGCCCTGAGCACTCTCGCTACCCAAATCAGCATGGAGAAATGGACCATACAAGCAACCTTTTAAAAATTATTACTTTGTACTACATAATAAAATTAGAATAATGTTATTTATCTCCATTAGAGATAATCACCCATCTATATGACTGGGTAATGTGTTTTGAAATGATAAGGTCAATTAAATGTATGGATATGAAATCCACTTTATTAGTATTATCATATAATGTCACATCACGTTGTGATAATCTCTAATGAATATAAATAGCATTACTCATAAAATATGATCCCCTGTGGAATAAAAATATGGCAATCATGTATTCTCTGTGAAGTATGTCAACACCGAATACAATCACTGCGCAAAAAAGTAACAGGAAATAGGATGGGTACAAGAATTAACCCCTATGCCCATTTGGAGGAGCAGATGCTAGTTATCCTGACATCCCGAAAAGTGACATCGTGTGACTATGTTGAAACAAGACTTAGTTCCGTTCCTCGAGGATAATAATTAGTACAACTACTAAACGGTCAACACAAAGTTAGAAGGTGTTTGATGGGGATTAAAATTGGATTTTTAGTAGATTGTGATAGAAATTTTTGAAATGTGTGGTTGAAAAGTTTTGGGACCATGAAAGATATGATTAATATTAATTGTTTGACTTTGACTTAAATTAAAATCAGATTTTAATACGGACCAAACAAGGGCTTAATGTACATGCTGAAAATCACATCAGTTTTCCCAATTTTGTAGGGACTTAAGCGCACCAAGCTTCCAAAGTAATTGAGTTCAGGTTTTAGCTACATGTAGGGCAAATTATGACAAGGGCCAAACAATTCGGACCCTGACCTTAGGCAGACGCCGATCCCAACTGCACCAAAGTCAATCTATTCTTGATTGCCCATTGACCGCATCCAGGCAGGTATTGGGGGAAGTGAAAAAGTTTTACAAGAAGAATTGCCGAATTGGTCTCTACTCTCTATATCAACACCCTTAAACCGCATTCTCACAGTCAATTACAAGGCGGATATACTGACATAACTCAGAGACAGGATTGCAAGCCTGACAACTAACTGTCTTGTCGCCAAAGCTAACGATTCGAGCTCCAGCACACTGCAAATTCAAGAAAGTAAATATTAGATGTTGTGCTTTGAAATTTAGCTCGAACAAGGTTCCTCTACTGTACAAGAGCCAAAATAACCAGCAGAGAATTCATTTATATTATCCATAATTATTGTTTCAGTAATGAATATCTCGAGTCTGCTTGAGATTTACTAGAATGTAATGTGTGTGCTTGTGGAGAGTTACTCCAAGCCTCTCGCCATTTCTGACAAGTTGCAGATGCATTAATCATCCTCTGCAGTCCTGAGCCACTACAGCATGTTCCTGGAACATACCTCCACAAATAAAACTGAAAAAAATATAAATGTGGAGTGTAGCCTGCCCAATTCAACATGCTTGAGAGGAAGAGGAACAAAATCGAATGTGTGAAAGCACTAGGTTTACAAATTCGTACTTAGAGCAGTCGTGAAAACAATACCACTCAAGGTGAGTCCATGCTACAGAATCCTAGAAGAGCACTGGTTGAAATCTAGATAGTCATAGTGGCACAAGTAGGAACATGACATAGGGGACTGGGTCTTGTGATAGTCCAAAATAAAATATGAAGTCGATATGTACATAGTTTTAGAGATATTGATCTTAAAGAGGTTCCTAGTTGGTATAATTGATATGGAACCCTCTATTGGGAAATAAAACGATTGAGGTAATATATATGACAAAATATGAAGTATATGACCGCAAAAAAAAAAAAAAAAAAAGATAAAAGACAAAGAATTAATTGGTGGAGAAAATGAGTATTTTATTCAATTGACTAATGAAAAAAACAAATACAATAATTATGCCTACATAATTATTCTATATATCAGTATTACAAAACTTGTGAAAATGGTGTATTATTTATAAGGGTGGATGTCAAACTTAAGAAATACTAGAAAGATGGAAACAAAGATCAAAAATCACATGGAATAAAGGAAAAAATGTTTTCTCAAAAAAAATCTAATCTAATCTAATTTGAGTCAAAAAATCCAACAATCTCCATATTGACACAAATTTCGATGCAACTAACGAAAGTCCAAGATTTCTCTACTTGAAAAAATAAATTTGACTACAACGAATAAAATCGAATTCTTCAACAAGAACCAAACTTTCTCCAATACAAAAATGCTCCTCCTCTTCCACTATATCTAACACGGGTGCATGAACCCAAACACCGGGTTCTCCAAAATTCATAAAACATTAAAAATTATCAAACAATATCAAAGCACACCATGTAGCAGAATCAACATCCAATGCTTTCATAGAAAGCCACGTCTAATCTCAACACCTTCAAAAACGCTAAAAGCATGTGCAACCGAATCAACATCCACGTACCTATCTCCAATGGGTCTATTGAATAAGATGGAACCATAGGTAATGGTGGCAAATCGGAATTATCTCCAAACTCGATCGAGTAGTATTCTTCGATATGGACCCTAAATCAAATTCCAAAGGTACAGTACCAAATTGAATCTCCACCACGATACTAAATTTGTGCTGACTTTTCTTCACAAATGATGTCCGACCTTACAAGATGTATAATTAGAACATTTTCTACCCTTCCAATACAACACGAACACCCTTTCGAACCCCTGCAATTCCACCTCCTCCAGAGAATGTGCACCCTTTTGAATCAAGAATACTCAATGAAATGAGATTTTTCTTCAAGTTTGGAATATGTCGAGTGTGATCAAATGTTCTACATGTTCTATCCACCAACTTCAATCTGATTCCACCAATAGTTGGAAAATATTGGGCAGAACATTTCTTAGCACTGGTGTGAAAATGGAAAGCTAGAAGGTAATGTATGTAGCTTTTTGAAATGGTAATTTATTCAAGAGCAATGACTTGTGATACAGTTTACTTTTCGAAATGAAAATGGGAAAATTGTTTGATAAAAAGTCGAGAGCCTAAAGGGTTCAGCATTTCAAAAGACTGTACACATCTCTTGGTCATAGAATGTTGCCAAAATATCTTTTATTAGAAGAAATATTAATATACTCGGATCGCTGTTAGTAGTATTGGAAATACAAGAATTATGTATTGTTTGAATATCACTTGGTAAAACCAATCATTGTAATGAATTGTTGAAGTTATATGACAAATAATGAAGTATTAGATCAAACAAAAAAAAAATTTATTGACTCGAGAATAATAGAGATGAGAGAAAATTACAATGGATTCTATAATTCTATAAATCTATTTTCTCACATCATAAAATTGTATAGAAGAACCTAATATTTATAGGAAACATATAGGGGATGTCCAAACCCTCATAATAGAGTTGTTGATTAAGTATAATATAAAAAAATTGAGTCCAAAACAAATTTCAACTCCCAGTAGGCTTCCAAAATAGAATTTCAACTTGACATAAGACTCCAATAGTATTCCAAACTAAATTTTTCTTGACGTGCACTTTAATTAGAATTCTTCAATTACTTCAACAAGAAATTCAGGTCACAACCAAATTCTAACATAGAATATTTTGAATTAAAGGACATGAATTTCTAAAGTCACACAACTATACGCACATTTCAATTTTATCGTTCTTCTTCCCTCCAAGAATGAAGATGGTTTTTTTCATTTGATCTCTCTCTCTCTCTCTCTCTTTTTTCCCGTACATGTCATACTATGGTGTAACAAAAATTAAATTTTGGTCTCGGGTTTTCTTAAGCTTTGTCACTAATAAATAAATTAGAATCATAGGGTACCCTACAATTAAGTTTTGAATTTATTGATCCGTGTTCAATTAGGTATTTTTCTTCTAGAAAATTATTGAAATTCAAAATATAAAATAACTACTTAAGTCTTTTATATGCCACATTATTAAACATATTTATACTTGAATCATTTACATTATGATGAAGTGCATAAGGAGTTAGAATTTATGATGAAGTGTGATCGCAAGGCAAAATAATAATTTCATGATAACTTTGGATTTGTCCGTTTTTGACGAATTAATAGTCTAATTTGAGAGGAAACGGGCCAAGGATCACAACTCATCGCCTTTGGCCATGACGTATGTCGGATTTCGGACAGATTCCATCGTTTAGGCTCTCGATTACGCGTTTTTGCCGTTTTATGGTAATTTTTATTTTGGTAATATCTCATTCAATAAAATTCGGATTTTAATTCCGTTTGTTGGAGGACGATCCTGAATATTAGGAGTTTCCATTTAAGTTAGAATCTTGAATTTTTCCATTTATGGAAAAATATCGTTTTTTATATTTTTATTATTTATTTTCCGAAATTTGCTAGGGTTTTGCTATTTAAACCATTGTAAGCCCTTCGAGGCAGGCATTATTGAATTGAATAAAAACTTTCGTGAGTTTATCTCATATTTGTGAGGTTTTTCATCTTTCCTATAATCTTCCGCTACGTCAGTTGGTATCAGAGCCGAAGTCGTTCCTTCACCATGCCGCCAAGGAGACGTCCAGAAGCTCGTGAAGTCCCAGTAGAAGAGGTACATAGACGTGATGAAATCACACAGCTGCGTCAA